TAGTGAGGCTTTTTGTTTTCTTTATAGTGAGATGTATTCCATACTGCAGACTGTATTCTTCAACCCTCATCAGTAAGTGCCTCAAGTCATCCTCACTTTCAGCAAGCAAAGTTGTATCGTCTGTTTATCTGAGGTTGTTAATGATTCTTCCTCCAATCCTGATGCCACGTTTTTCTTCATTTAGTCCAGCTTCTCGTATTGTTTGCTCAGCATATAGATTGAATAAGTCTGGAGAAAGGATACAACCCTGATGCACTCCCTTCTTGATTTTAAACCATGTAGTGTCCCCTTGTTCCATTCAAATGACAGCCTCCTGGTCAAGGTACAGGTTCTTCATGAGTACAATCAAGTGTTCGGGAATTCCCATTCTTCTCAATGTTATTCATAATTTGTCATGATCCACACAATCAAATGCCTTTGCATAGCTAATAAAACACAAACATCTTTCTGGTATTCTTTGACTTGAGCCAAGATCCATCTGACAACAGCTATGATATCCCTTGTTTCACATCCTCTTCTGAATCCATCTTGCACCTCTGAAGTTCTCTGTCAATACAGTGCTGCAACCATTTTTGAAGTATCTACAGTAAGATCTTACTTGCGTGTGATGTTAATAATAATTGTTCTATAATTTCCACATTCTGTGGGATCACTTTTCTTTGGAATGGGTACAAATATGGATCTCTTCCAGTCAGTTGGCCAGGTAGCTGTCTTCCAAAATCTCTTGGCATAACCGAGTGAGTGCCTCCAGTGGGGCATCCGTTTGTTGAAATATCTCAGTGGGTATTCCATCAATTCCTAGAGCCTTGTTCTTCGCCAATTCTCTCATTGCAGCTTTGACTTCCTCCTTCATTACCATTGGTTCTAGATCATATGCCACTTCCTGAAATGGATGAAGATTGACCAGTTCTTTTTGTATTCCTGCCATCTTCTTCTAATGTTTCCTGCATCATTCAATATTTTGCCCAAGGAATCTCTCAGTATTGCAACTCGAGGCTTAAATTTTTCCTCAATTCTTTCAGCTTGAGAAATGCCGAACGTGTTCTTCCCTTTTGGTTCTCAAACTCCAGGTCTTTGCACATTTCATTCTAGTAATTGGCTTTGTCTACTCGAGCTGCTCTTTGAAATCTTCTGTTCAGCTCTTTTATCTTGTC